AGCCAGGAACATTTGTATACTTTTATGTAGTTTATTTTTTACATCTTGGAAACAACCTGCAACAGTGTTTTACCCCTTATATCCTACAAAATGCAACTCTAGAAAGACAGCGAGGTGAGAGAGCTGCTCAGTTTCTGGCACATTTGTGACATCAGAGAAAGAGAAAAAGCAAACATCTTGATTAGCAATGAGAAAGGAGTCAGTGTCAAGTTTTTTTTAGTAGGTTTACCTGCACATACCCACTTATTTGTTTTAAGGGGTGTATTACAGAACATATTTTTGCTACAGGGACACATGCATTGCTACATTAATGCATATACTTGGTTCCCAGATGAGAAATACACCAAAAGCAACCGATACATTCCAGGCAATTAGCAGCCTGAAACAACCAACAACTAAGGTACATGGAGCAAAAGTATCAAACAAAACCGTCTAGTTATAAATTCTCCCTTTGTGATGATTGTAATTTGTTGGGGTTTCATTAAAATTGTTTTAGGAGAGTGGTTGATTATTTTTGAAAATGTGTGTGGGGCCTTTGGGCGCTGTATTGTATCAAACAGAGGGACGTGTCTTTCATGTAGCTGGGCTTTACTTAATAGAAATAGAAATAGAAATATCTGTTTACCACAGCTGGTGTCCATAGACGTTATGTAGCAATATTGAGCGACATAAATCAAATGCCCTGCTGCTTATAATATAATTAACAGGGGAATTAAGCAGCAGAAAATGCAGAGGACATAAACTCCACAGCAGCTGCAGCTGACAAACACGGACAACACGCTTCGTTGCCAGGAAACGCAGAAGTTGTTGATGCTCCTCTGTACAAAGACTTACAACAATCAGTCGTGTGTTCCACACTTGCATGAACATCACTCTGTCCCCCGCAGCCTCTTTTCCAACCTCTCTGCTTGTTCATTGTCAATATACAACAACAGGAATACGAGTCACAGCCCAAGGATTCAAGGTTCAGTGTGTACGATTTAGGTGAAAGGGAAGTTTTGGCAGAATTTGAATGTAAACAGATCCATTGTGATGTTTTCACTTGTGTGTTTCATCTAAATTGTACAAATTGTTTTCTTTACCCCAGAAAAGTCCCATTATATTCAAATACTTAATATTTACATTGAGAGATGGTCCTCTCTACGGAGGCCACCATGTTTTTACAGTAGCCCACACAGGACAAACTAAACCTTTTGAGTTTTAATGACAACTGAAGGCTACCACAGGTTCGCTTGATAGGGGAAGGTGAGGTGAGGGGTATTCAGCTGCAACATGCAACTTCACCACTAGATGTCACTAAATTCAACACACTGAACCTTTAACGTTTAGCTGTTGCCAAATTACTGCTAATTTTAATTACGGCCTCATAATGCTGAACCTAACTGAATAGTGAACACCTGGTGACAGTGATCTGAGAGCGGCTCGTCTCTGAACACAGAGCTCTGCCCTCTTACAGCCTGAGACCACAATGCTGCACATCCACCAGCAGCAGCTTGTTCTCTGCTGCACCTGCTTGTCTATTTTCATTTGTTGCATTCTTACGTCGTTGATCAATGTCACATATTTCTTTATGTGACATTCTCCGTAATGATTTTAACTTTAAATGTAGCAGACTAAAATATTTTAGGTGTGAAATTACTGATTGAAAATGACAGCTTTGTCACAGTAACAAGAATGAATGTAAAAGGTTACTTCCAACCCTGCTGCTCTCATCCACCTTGTTTCAAGCTGCATCTGTTTCCTTTTAAAAAAAAAACCAATAAGTGACCGACAGACAAAAAGCTGGTGACCAGCTGCTGAACATGAAGGAGCATGTGGCAGCTAAAGAACCATCTATTTCCCTTGGGAGTTGGTAGTGACCAAAAATAAAACAAAAAATTGACAAAATTGGAAAAAAATACGGGAAAAGTAAATAATCGCTTTTAGTTAAATCATTCCCAAAAAACTGATTACTATGTATATCTGTGTATTGTCACTGCCCTCATGTGGACCAAGAAAAAAACAACTATTATCGAAGCCATGGAAATATGAAATCTTGTTTGGAAACTACAACTTAAGCCATTTTCAGGTTTTGCCATTTGGTTTATAATATCTGACATTTCATTTTGTTTTCTTCAATAAAAAATACATTTTCTAAGTGCAAGTTGAATATAGTTTTTAAACTTTTCTAAAATATAATACATCAAACATAATCCGTCCTTAAAATGACCATATTTAGCATAAATATTCAAACAGGTCACTGCAGGGTGATTTTTTACCAAAGCGATCCTTGTTAAGTGCAATGAAGACACATGTTTATTCAGAAACCCCCTTTGCACTGAACTGAATTGCACAAACTCTGAAGGCTGTTGTCTCTTTTCAAACCCGAGTATCTTCATTATGAACAGAATGAAAGGCTTCTTCACATTCATGTTTCACATTATTCAGTAGTGGACTTTATTTTCGTGCCAGTAATCATTTTTATCAAACGAGGTATCACAGTTTTTTTTTTTTTTTTTTTAAATACTGAAAATGAAACAGTTCAAGTACTGTGACCTTTGCTAAAGTTAGTGATGGAGGTACAGCAGTAGAATGGTGGCAGGAACACATGGAGTGCATGTACGTCTGTTTTGTTAAATTTGCATCCTCTGTCAATGCAAATCAGTCAGTGTTTTGTAGAGTGGCCGTCCTCCTACGCAATGTCAATGATTGCCGCAGGTCAAGTTTACCCTGTTGTACTTACATGTAAGAGATTCAGGGATGACACGTGGAAATCAGTGTCCTTGAAAAGCCAGAAAAGGAAAAAAAGATTTAACAAACTGCACCTCCCACTTCAAATGAAAAGTATCACTAGATATTCTCACATCCTAACAGCAACTGTGTGTCGTCAGCAAAATCAGTGCAACATAAACCACACATTGGATCAGGAGAGTAACATGTTCATTTATTTGGATGGCCTCTGAACCCCATCATTACAAGACATATCAGGGTCTCTTGCTTGACGTCTCTCTGTAGCACTGCCCAGCTGACACGACGTTAGTCCTTGTACTGTTGATTGATTTGTCTTTACAACAGATAGAATAACTGGAATTGACAATGGCCATGACAGATTGCTATGGAAATGGGAATGATGATTATAAACCATAACTATGCAAAAAAAACACAAGCTACCTCTGAGACAACACAATTCTTATAATATGCTAATGGTAATACTGCTAATAATAATAATAACGATGTCAGATAACAAACATTACGGTGAGTGCATTCTTTTGTCTTACACTTACCTACTGAAGTCCACTTCACGAGTCACTTTAGTGTGCTTTTAATCTCTCTGCCACAAGGTGGCACTGCAGTATGAAAACATTCGCAAATATTTTAAAAATAAATGTTATATAAGAAACAAAAAAGGGGCTAACAGACAGCAATACAAACACAAGGTTATTTATTTATTTCACTGACTCTTTACTACCATTAGGTGGTTAGGATTTTGACTTATAGTAATCCAAAAATCAGTTGAGTTTTCATCCAACTCACTGAGCCAACAGCTTAATAAACTAACTAACTAACCACAGCTAAATAAGCCTGATAATGACGACAGTTGTCATTGTAGAAGGTCAAATTGAAACTCATTGCCTAGAAATTAAAGCAATCTTTCTCTCTATAAAGTCTCTAAAGATGCATCATTATAACAATGACTGGAAATATCTTCGATTAGAACTCTGGACAGTAACCAAGGGGGGCGGGACTGATTTGGTTAACACACGTGTCTGGTGGTGCTGGTGGTTAATTGAATTGCTACTGATGGAAATATAAATCTAATGTAAAGAAAAGAACAGCAAACGGATGTAGGTGAAGGGTGAAACTGTGGAGGTACCAAGTATCTCCAGTATTGGGTGGGTGATATTGAAGCTATGTCCCTATGAAGAACGAAAACTGTATATAACGATGGAGGACGTGCCTCCACTTCTTCCCACTATCCAGAAATGAAGCCAAAATATCCTGGATATTAAAAGCTATTAACACTTCAAGTCTGCACAGTGGTGATCGGGATGGAGCTTCTGTAGATGCAGCAGTCTCAGCGATCAATCATAACATTTCACCCTTTGTTTATAGCATCAAATAATTCATCAAAACCAAACTTATAGCAAAAATTAAGTTAATTTAAGCTGCACGTAGCTGCAGTTTGTGTTACCATGTCCCTGACACACATGGTTTATGCTTGTTTTCCCCGATTGCAGATATGTGCAGTGTAAAAAAACAGCCCAGCTAATGTGACTGATCCAAACCAGAACGGTATTTCAAAAAGTTTTGTCAGAACCCCTCCTGGCCTGTGGGTCCTCGACAGGAACCAAGGGGACTCGGGTCAGTTATCCACACTGTAATATGAAGTCCATTTCGTGCTGCAACCCGCAGTATGGATCAGCTTATTGAATTTTACTTTGAACTGGGCATGAAGGTTGGTGATCAATCAATAAACATTATTTTATAATTAATGAGAGCAAAGTTAAACAAATTTTTCCAAATGGAAGAATGTGGAATAGTGATCTGCAGGGTGTCATTACTGTAATGAGGACAAGTGGATGGATACAGATGACTGCACCTAAAGGTCTAATGAAATGACAATATTGCATGATGGGAATAGGCAAATATTAAGAGAGAACGCAAAACATATTTTGAGGAAACGCAAAAGTTAATTATAAAAAAATTGTCGTGACCCTTCAGGGGCTTCATAGATATCAAACTATCTTTGAGACATAATTATTTGACATGTGCTTTGACTTTTAAGTTTGAGCCATGTCCCACCCACTACCATGAAGCAATGCAATTTGTATATCGTAATTTATCTTGTTTTAACTTATCTTTACTTTATATTCTTGATTTATCAAGCGTATTGATTATTTTACTGTTGCAGCTACTTTTCCAATCTTGGGACAATAAAGGGGTGGGATTTATGACCTGCATTGCAGTCAGCCACCAGGTGGCTCCACCTTTGGGGAGTAGACTCATGACACAAACTCAGGTGTGCTAACAGCTCATGTGCTGCACCAGGCCTGGAGCAGGTGATGTCTGTGGTCTGACACTGGAAGTGAAGAGCATGCCTCAGTGACTGGGATGAAGACTTAAGTGCAGAGGAAGACTAAACACTGCTGAGAGGTGAGACAGCTCACTCTTGTTGCTGTGTGTTAATGTTTATATGTACGTTTTGTGTCAGGATTTGTGTGACCTGGCTAATTGGCAGCAGAACACAATGGCAAGTCACCTGTTCACACATGGCACGGATCAGACTGGTGTGGAGAATAGAATCAGGGGAGAAGGACAACATGTCATGTGATGAGTGACTGAGGTTTATGGAACAAGTTGCTGTCTCTTCATTGCATCTGATTCGATCTGACTCATTCAGTGTTGAGACGTGCAGCTTTTGAATGAAAGTGAAAACAGTGCGTCCGTCTGATATTGTCAGGCATGTGCAGTGTATTAGCATCACATGAGGCACAGTTGTCTGCTGACTGACTTAATTTTTCCTCAAAATGTGTATTATCTTGTGTGTGTGTGTGTGTGTGTGTGTGTGTGTGTGTGTGTGTGTGTGTGTGCGTGCGTGGGTGACATGTCCATGATTATATCACGATAAAACATTTTATATCAGTCGATATTGATAATCACTGTTTGTTTAGATGGTGCTTCTCTGTGAACCCCCTTGTTAACATAAATAGGCAACATATTAAGTACAAAGTACAACATAGTATGCAATCAAAAGGCATACAGTGGTTAAGATGAGTAGTGCAAGCTGGAATAGTGTACACCCACAGGATGTAGTATGGGTTCAACATGACTCATTACTCCAACTTGTGTTTGAAACAGTCTCAGATCTTTCAGGGCCAGTGCTTATGTAGAGACTAACATTTGTGATGTCTCTACGTCAGGACAATAAATGAAAAATGTAACTCCCACCAATCGAAGGTAGGCTGTCTCCCGACACCGGCAACCATTCATGAGTGGGAATTTGGAAAGTTGCGCTCATTTTCATATCAGTGCTGAAACCACCACATTGTGTACCATTCAGAAACGTCCTCCATCCTCTGCTGCGCCTGCATGTACTCTGACACAGCTGCTTCTGCCCCGGCTGGCCCACACATATTTTGCAACAAAAATTTCACATGATGTAGAGTGCTTCTCGTTTCCTGACGTTCAAGACCACTTTTAATTACGAGCAGAGAATGTTGCTGTGGCAAACGCTTGATAAACAGCAAAAGATTTTACAAACACAAGGTCAATCAATTATGTGTTGTATCTCCTCACGGTGCTTGCACAGTACATAAACAATGCAGCAATATAAATTGGACTTTTGTTATATTGCTATTGATGAAAATTATTTCGTGATAATGATTGGCATTGTTTTGTGGCACCTGTTTTAAAGGCAGAGCAGCTATTGGATTATTTTTGAGGAATGTTTTATGATTGAAAATTGAAATTAGTGTTGTAAATCAAAAAGGGTCATTTAAAAAACTGATAATCAAGTGGAGGACAACAATGTGTTCCCGGAAGACTGTGGATGCAGGTTAATCATTTTAATACATCTGATTTAAGAAGTCAGTGCTTGCAAATCATCCCCTCGCCGAGGCTTCTGGATGCAAGTGTTACATTTTTTAAAATACATGTTTATTTCCACTTTATTTACTGAGTGAAGGAATAAATAGGTGCTCCTGCTGCAGTACACACTCAACCAATGTATCCCTTTGCAAATAGATATAAGTAGATAGGATATTGTAGTAGATGTTCAGCAGAAGACTTTTATATCAGTAATTCAAGAATAGCGTGCATGTGTGTTCATGTTCGAGTGTGTATGTGTGTTCGCGTGCGTGTTCGTGTGCGTGTTCTCAGGCTGAAGGTTGGATGTCTGTCATCTCCGAGCACCCCTGGGTCTCTGATTTCTACTTCACAGCTGCCGTGCACTAGCTGATGGCCATTTTCCTTCTCGTCCACCTCTGTACCACATTTCAAACTTTTTCATCCCTTCTCATTCCTTCTTTTCTTCCCCCTCCCTTTTCCTTCCTTTATGGAAATCAGGCCCAGCACTCTGCCTATCTGCTAATCTCTCCCCTCAGTCTCACATACTCTGACCATTCCACCTGATCCCATAAGCACCGTTTTCACTTGATCTTTTCCCTCCGGCTACACATTACTGATCATCCTCTTTGCGCCCTCCTCTCTCTTACTCCTTCCAACCAGTCACCTTATTTTTTATCTACTTAACAAAAAAAATCTTTCATTTTCATACAAACCCATCTACGTTTAGTCTTCACTCTTTGGCACTTGTATCTCTCTCTCCCTCTCCCTCTCTCTGTGCTTGTGGCCCCTGCGGTGGCATAATTTAATATTCGCAGTGTCACAGTAAAGAGAGAGGAGGCTGGGGTTGTCAACACGGCGCAAGGGCCCACGATGATTTAGTGCTAGCATCACAGAGGGAGCATCTCTCTTTATTTTATTAGTAGGGTACGGTCAATCTGGTGCAGTGACAGGGAGGTGGGGCGGCGTGGCTCAAATAAACAGCTGGAAGGCAGGAGGAGAGGTAGCAGCTCGTACAGTATTTACTGTGTTGTCTCAGAAGTAGAGAAAAATAAAACATATAGGCACCGATTGTGTAAAAGACTTATGAGATAATTTGCATCTGCTGTCTCGATCCGAGCAGTTTTTCTTCTAATTACTTACTGTCTGCTGTCTTGTGCAGTAATTAACGGAAGTAAGTGTTAAGCAATGTGTAATGTATGTGTTTGACAGCAGTTAAGTGCTGCAGTCAGGGCCTTAATGATAATTGGCATTTGAAGCGTTGCTGGAGCAGGTTTGGTTTCAGAATCTATTTCCCTGTATTTTCTGCCACATTGCTGTGTGATCGCCACACAATCATACCCCACTCCAACTCCTTTGGAATCAATATTTTCACATTGGAGGTGATATTTTAGCCGGGTGCTGGTGTTCAGACACATGACAGGGGTGTTGGCAGGTGTATGTGTTATTTATGTCTTTTTGTGTACGACTGTGAGGACACGGATGCTGCAGGTGTGGAGCTGGTGTAACATGGGTCACAGCGGTGACATAGCACGCAGAAGTAACCACGGTTACTCCCCCCCTGAGCGGAAAATGTGTGCACGCCTTGAGCACCTGCAATCAGTGGATTCACATGGAAAAATGAATAAAAGAAACATCAACAACACAGATAAAAAGTAAAAGAGCAGTCGTGCACTCAAGCGCAGGCACTGATCCAGACAGCCTGCAGGTATACACACTGCTGAAGGCTGAAGAGGGCAGAATTTGTAAGGACAAATCTGGTGTTGAACCTTGGATCTTTGATTACTTGGGCCCAACTGATAATGCCAACACTTTAAGTGAATAAGTCCTGATATTTTATATGTATATACATATGAGTTATAATGAAAAATGTTTTTCACAGAGAGGTTAGGAGCTCTGCCCTCCACCATCTGTGTACTCTGCTACATGTCTGAGAATATTGGAGTCACAGCACACTATATTAGACAATATATACACCTACACTGATATATAGACCCGTGAAATCAGTTTCAGAGAAGAACTCATTTAATTTTGCTGTGAATCCAGATCAGGAGGTGGAACCAGGATATTATTTTTTTTCTCGTTAACAAATGTATTTTTCAACATTCCATTGATATCTCAGAGAATTTTTAATGAATCCTGATTTTAAAAAAGCTGTCATGTTTAGGGGACTGATTTTTACAAATAAAATTCTGGATCTAGTGAATTCAAACGTGTTCATTAGAGGACTGTTGGGCCTTGGGGGAGGTATGTGCTCTTTGAGTGTCATTTTAGTTTTGCTTATTTTCATCTTGTCTCTGTATGACTGCACTGCTCCTTCAATTTGGTAGAAATGTTGATAATCTTAAAGGTACAGTGTGTAGAATCTAGTGACATCTAGTGGTGAAGTTGCAGCTGAACACACCTCACCTCACCTCACCCTCCCCTTCCAAACGTGATAGAGAACCTGTGGTAGCTTCAGTTGGCATAAAAACTCAAAAGGTGTTTAGTTTATCCGGTCTGGGCTGCAGCCTCCATAGACAGGACCTGCTCCTGATGTAAATGTAAAGTATTTTAATATAAAGGTAAAGAAACAACAATTTGTACAATTTAGCTAAAACACACTTGTGAAAAGGTCACTAGGATTTTTTTTATTACATTTTCTGCAAGTAGATCCCTTTTACCTAAATCTTTTACACTGAACCCTTAAAATACTCCATTGTGGTATCCCAGTGTTCTAGCAGTATGTCGTTGTAATACTCTGATTTCCACGAAAGGGTGTGGGGCATGACACAAGGAACAAGCCACACAATTTTGCCGTGGATCTGGATCAGGGAGCAGATTTCTTTAAATTATTTTCCTTGATTTCTCAGGGAATAATCAGGCATATGTAGAACCAGTCTGTGTGAATGGGGTGTGTTCAATGTGTGTGTTAAAGGTGCAGATCCAAATTAATATCCAGATCTAGTGAATTTAAATTTGGTTTCATAAAGGTACTTTTGGGTCTTGGCAGAGAAAAGTGCTCTACTGAGTGCCTTTTATAAAATCCTTTGCTACTATAGTGCCTGCATGTTAATTATGTTTCCAATACGTGACAGATTGGGAAAAAAAGAATACAAATATCTCGTTATACAAAAGCGTTCGCCATCCACATCGAATACACCTATGATGTCAACTTATAAAGGCAACAAGAAGCTGTAAACAAAAACAATGGTGAAATGTATTTCATTTCCTGCCTCCTGCTCTACCCAGGCACTTCCCAACACCTAACTTTTCTGGAAATGTTCCGATTGTCGTGAGAGCTTCTGATCCAGACCGTCTCCAGACATCTTGCAGAGTACACAAGTACACAACAGATTCTGACTGAAGTCTTGAGAGCTCCATTCATACAAATGCTGATTATTGTTTATCTTAAAACACAATCTAGTGTTTAAGTATTCCTGTGGCTGTACATGCTGCTTTTGTAAATACGCTTCTGTTACTAGTTGCTCGCCTGCTGATTCTAGCAGGTGTTTCAGTTTTGCTCGCTGTTGTCATCCAATGAGAAGGGATTTCCTCTGTTCTCGAAAAAAGCCTGGTGTTCACACTTTGACCTGTGCGCAGAAAGTCTA